ACCCAACAACAAATTATAAAAAAATTTTTCCAACAATTAATAAAAAGATGAAAGGATATGAATGCGTTATTTATTAGATTTACTTTCTTTGAAAGGTGACACATCTTCAGAATTTATTAGCCGGAACTTCTACCGAAATTCATCTATTGACCACAACCTATAACATTTCAAAAAAGGATAATAGGAAACACAAAAAAGACCTTCCAATAAAAGGGCAGGACCGAATACGATCCTTGTCGTGTCACCAGATGTTCGTATTTGCTCGAATACCTCCGCTATTTTCTTCTATATAAGTGAACTCCTCTAAAGTGAACACTTTTCATCTAATTCTGAACTCTGTCTATCTAGCACTGTAACGTATATATATATATATCTGTNATATTTGCAGTTACATTATTATTGCAAATTACTCAAGAAAATCATTCAAATAATCAAGAAACCAATCATTCTTCCGGGATATTGCCGACATCAAGAAGAAATTCTGTTCAAATACAAAATTAGTCATAAAATATCTAACCAACCCAACAACAAATTATAAAAAAATTTTAAATGTTTCTATTAATAATTATGATAACCTAATGTCATAGTAATTCATAGAAATTAAAAAAATTAGGATATTAATTATTATTTTCTAAGAACGGCATGTATTAAAATTTATTCAAAGCCTGAATCATATCTATGAGTAAATAAAATATATTTTTAAAAATTTAGACTCAAACTGAATGTTTGTTGTAATATCTAAACAGTCACACAAACAATCGGATTTTGTAAACATGTTTTAACTGAAATGGAAAGATATATATATATATAGTAATTAGATATAAGACATTATTGAGTTGGATTTGATTCCTGACGACATTACAGATGTAAATTACTCATTGTCTGCCTGTCTGACCTACTTATTTTTTAATAATCCATATATATAAACTTCTGTATTAATTTTTAAATTTCAGATGTTAAATAACTTTTAATTCAGTAATTAATACATTAAAATTGATACAGATTAAAAATTATTACTAAATACAATTAAAAGGATTGATATATTATATGAAATTTATGCAGTTGATTGTCATGAAGACCTATATGTAGTTAGATATAATTACAATTATCTTATTAAAGACCGAATATTTTATCATCATTAATTTTACATCCAAACCAATGACCTTCAGACCCAAGATGTGATGATTATCTGTTCAATCTTCCTCTCAATCAGACATGTGTTATATACATTCTAAATTACTTCTCCAATAATAACTTTCTATAATTATTAATTACATTTAATTATTAAACTTAGTAAAAGAAAAAAAACATTCACAGTCTGGATTTGAATGATTGACTTTTCAATTCAGTAAAATATCGACGTACACCACAATTACTTATGAATATGAAAAGGTTGTTAGTTTTTTTTGGCATTAATTAAGAGTTTTATTAAGAAACAAACCTTTTTGCGTCAAGAACTTCTGTTTCTTAATAAAACTCTTAATTAACACTAAAAAAACTGATAACCTTTTATATCCGTGAATTATTGACTCCATTAATTTTGTTAATTTAAGTTGTTTTCATTAATAATAATATAAAATGTTTGAAGTTTGTTTATCCTTATATAAAGGTACTCATGATCTTCATTTATATAAACAAACTGGAAAGGAAAAATATTTGCAATCTATAACATTTTTATCTCTCTCATATATTATTATTCTTTTTTTTTGGAAGAATTGAAAAAGCTAATATAAAACTTAGGTGAATACAAAAATAATCAAGGCATCTGATTTTGTGTAATAATTTATATTCATTATAATATACTTTGTATCCTAATTTTAAATAATCAAAATTATTAATTAATTTAAAAGCTATCATATCTAACGGAATACCGGATCAAGTATAATAAGTTNTTTAAATAATCAAAATTATTAATTAATTTAAAAGCTATCATATAATAAAATATATAGTTCTATTTTATTAATTAGCAATGAAATATTTGGTTTATTATTTGTTATTAAAATAAATTCAAAATAATTATCTTTAAATGTATTTTTGCTAATATGAAAATATACAATAATGATGATATATGTTCAATTTCTACATAGATAATATTCAATGTATTATCATTTATAAAAAATAATAATAAAAATAGACTCAAAAAGCAAAGTGGAAGATAAAAAAAAATCATTTTGGTTTCGGTCTGTAAAATATTGCAATAAAGTCATCAATATATAGAGATGATCAATACGCAGACTGAAGAGAAATACAGGTGGAGATGTCACTGCATTTCTATCTATCCATTATGTTAACCCATTTTAAATCATATACAGAAATATAGAGCTATCATAAATGATAAATATATATTTAATTATTTTAATTCTTAATCGTTATATTTTTTTTTATCATTAATGGTGTTATTAATACAATATCATTATGAATATTTTTTCATAAATAAGCTATTATAGATTGAAAATGACTAACATTTATGATAATGTTTTATGAATCATCATTACAATGTCTGAAAATATATTATATTAATTTGTCTACACAGAATATAGTTTTAGGTCTAAAACTAATATTGTAAAAAAATCTTTAATCGAAAATACTTTATAGAAAATTTATATTAAGAGCACAAATCAATAGTTTCATTCTGATAAATTTTTATTATTAACAAAAAGCTTTTTATTTATTTTCTTAATTATTTTTATTAGAATTTAGGGGAAATAATGATAAATTACCAAAATAAAAATAGCATTAAGAACAGATTCTTTCTTAATTAATTGTTTAAAAATAAAAAATAATTTGTACTTGGATTTATATTGATTATAGACTTTTAATCAAACTTCCAGATAAAAGAAGAATACATTCAATGAAGTGCTTCGTCTTCATCAAAATTGAAAAGATATCCATTACAACTACTTTGTATGTATTTCCATTCATTCTAAATAATATTTTCATTACTTCTAATAGATAAACTCCTATTTTCTATTTTTAACCGATCATATAAAATTATTCTAAAAATGTAATATCAACTAGAATTTTTTTTGATGCATAGCAATAGCATTTTTAATAAAGAACAAAACTAAATTGGCCAATATTGGCTGAACATAAAATAATTAAGCTACTAAAATAAAATAAATAAAAAACTAACTTAGAAAATCACATTTGCCTATTAAATTCCTATATAACTGTATATGAGTGTGCTAGAGTACTGTACATGTAATGCTTCATTATAATTGAATTCTTAGTATGATAGTTATTTCCTATATAATAATTGTAAGTAATAAGTTTTATTTCTAAATCATACTCTATGAAGTGCTGCAAAGTATTTTTTGTTGGTAAAATATCAATGCATTCATAAATTATAACAATAAAAAAATAAATTTAACAGAATGGAAGAGCAGGAAAATTATTCAAAAAACAGCAAAGATCCGTATCTTGTTAAAAAATAAGGTTTCAGGTTTGCATTTAATTTTTTATAGATAGCATTTTAACCTGAGTATTGTTCTATTTATATTGTCTACCAATAAAAGACAGCTTAATATTTTGCTTTCTGCTTTAATTTATACTATTCCTTAAAATGAGATTATGAATACAAAAACATCTTCTAGATTATGAGGAATATCCCAGAAGTAAAGTACAATCTGTTATAACAAGTTACATTAAAAAATTAAATCAGACTTCTAAAAGTATATAGTCTAAACTAGTTTTCTACATAGTCACCATTCTTATCCAAACAGTTTTTCTAGCAGGTGACAAGTGCAAAAAATTCTCCACTTAATGATTTGAACAAGTTCATAACTGCATCTTTAACTTCATTATCTGAGAAGTGTAAGCCACTAAGATGTTTCAAAAACAAACACAGAAGGTGCTAAGTTTGGACCATGCTCAGGATGGTACACCTGCTGCACAATAATGCAACTCCTGTATTGCACATCAGAAGTTAGACCAACTAAAAAGTATGAATGGGATATAATGGACCATCCTGTACAAAGCCCATACTTAGCACTCTCCGATTTTTACTTTTTTGGAGTCCTTAAGAAACATCTTGGTGGCTTACACTTCTCAGATAATGATGAAGTTAAAGATGCAGTTATCAAATCAAGTGGAAAAAGTGAAGAAATTTTTCAAAAAGGAATTTTTACTCTTATCTCCCACTGAAAAAAGTATTTAAAAAATGGCAAATACAGTGGTACCTATCTTGACTTACAAGTGTCCCAACTTACGAGGTTTTTTGAGATACAAGCCATCTCTCTGATGATCTTTTGCTTTGAGTTGAGAGCTAAAATTTGTGTTATGAGTTCAGATACTCCACTCTAGTTGGCACAGTAAACCATAGATTAAGAAAAAGATGGAAAACTGCCATAATTTCATCATTTTCATTACTCGTCCAATGTCTGACAGACTAGTTTACAGTGACATAGGCATCAGTTCACTTCCATGTTGTGTGTGATGCCACCATTCTCATTTCTCAAATTTTCCATCTTTTCTTTCTTTACCTATGCAGAAAATGCCATAACATCCACAAAACCAGTTTATTGCAGTACATTTTATTGTTTTTTTTATACAATATTCATTATTTATACGTACATTTTTCTTATTTAAAAACATAAAACAAAAGAATTGCAGTGTTTTGGAGGGGATCCGGAACAGATTAATGGTATTTCAATTCATTTCAATGTGGAAAATTGATTTAACATATGAGTAATTTGAGTTATGAGTTCAATCACAGAACAAATTAAACTCTTAAGTCAAAGTATCACTGTATGTAGAAAAATAGGTTAGAGAGTAATGGCTAATTTTAATTTTTTAATGTAATTTGTTTAAAAAACTGTACCTTACTTTTGAAACATGCCTCATACTACTGCATAATGGAATAAATATAGTATGGATTTCATAAAAATATATTTTGTAAAATATAAAGATGTAGTTATCTTAACAATTTATAAAAATATTGAAGTATTTTTAACATTAACTTTGAATTAAAAAGAAAAAAAGAATTTGAAAATTTTACTTACCTAATGAATCAAAATAACTAAGATCAACATCCTGTAAAGGTGTGTGGGCAACAGTAGGTCTCTGATGAAAATGTTCTTCTGGATCCTTTCTAGGTTTTTTAATAACATCTAATTTTTGTGGTCTCTTAGCAATTTCCTGTTCAATTTCACTAATTTGTTTTTTCATTAATAATAAAGTTTGATTTTCAGATTCATCAACTATATCACCATTTGTATTGCAACCTTCCATATCTTCCCTATCACTACTTTGTCCACTTGATAGCCCATCTTCTAAAATAGGCATACTACTTGGTAAACGACCACTAGAATTCAAACTCCCTTCAAATGACACTTCACTTTCTACATCATTACTATCACATTCTGTCGTTTCTGGTGAAAGAGTAAAATTTCTAGTATGATCCACTTGCTCACCCATTTCCGTTTCTCCAAGATCTTCAGTATAATTGCTAAGTGATTCGTGATCAGCCTCCACAATTTCCATTGCACCTGTATGTTGAAGAACACGTTTATGTAGCAATTCTTCTTGTTCTGTTGGCACATAGATAGATACATCATTTTCTGATATCATTTGATCAGAAAATATATCATTTGATTGAGATGTCATAACACTACAGTTAACATCAACTTTCTTAGGACTGTCGTGATTATTACTCCCTAAAAAATGTGCTAAACGGCTTCCAATATAAGAATTTCCAGTATTTACACAATATAATTTATATTCCAATTCATTAAAATCAGACTCACTCACAGTTGTTTTCAATCCATGTTGCTTTATGCAATTATTTTCATGTTTTGGATTATTACAAACTGAATTTATTTCAGATTCTTGGCAGTGACAAGAAAATGCTTCTTCATTATGATTTAAATCATTTTCTACAATTTCCTGATTTTCTGACTCAGAAGAGTGATTTTGTAACCAAGATAACATGCTCTGTGGACTTTGCCTTGTAACTTTATTATGCATATCAGATTTTGAAAGCTCTTCATTATCATCTCTGTTATCAACACAATGTTTATAGTTATCTTTAACAACACGTTCCGGATGACCTGGTCTAGGTCCATATCTACGAGGAGAGCCTTCATATTCTGCTATTGGCAAATTTCCAATAACACGAACAACACCTTGTTTCACAGGAAATGAAGGTTCTGACTTTGTATCCATTTCTTCTTCATAATTTTGATCTTCATCTTCATCACCAATATCAACTCGTTGACTAGGATGTGATCTCTCACAAATTTCACTCTCTCTAGAATATGGTTCAAATGCTGATATATCATGACTATAAACATGTGATCTAGATTTGTTATGAAAAGATATGCTTTCACTATTTTCATTTGCATCAGTTGTTATTGATTCTGTATATATTTCCATGGAACCTAGTATTTCATTTTGAGGTCCTCTTACATCTAATAAACTGTTTCTTCTTTCTATTTTTTGGTGAGTAACTAATTCACCAATATCATCATATATCACTTCAGCATTATGAATTGGTGCTTCGTAGACAAGATGACCAGAAGACAGAGTATGTTCTTGGGTTTGTTCTGAAACCGGTTGAAAGACTTTACCTGAATTTGAACTTGTTCTTAGAACATGGATACCATTGCATGAATTAACTGGAGAATCTCCAACTTCTGCTTTAGGGGCACTTTGTGGCAAGATATTCTTATTTCCTAATTGTGATAACAGTTTGTCCTCATACCCTGAGTGCATTCTGTAATCATAATTTGTTAAATTTTCATCATAATATACTTCTCCACTTCGCCTTTTATAGTCAGTATGTGCATGGAAATCACGAGGCGGATGATATACAACTTCATCACTATGATGTCTTCGAGAGGGTCTACGACAGGTCTTCGAAAATAATTCTCTACCACCGGCAATCTGTAACCGACTATCTCTTACAGAAAATTCTGGAATTGCATCTACGTGATAACCAATATCAAGTTGGGAATCGTATATAACTTTATCTGGATCATCACATGATGAATGTTGTTTCTTCATTTCAACTGCAAATGAATGATCATACTGTTCATAAGCATTTGTATATAAACCTTCTTCTATATTTCCATTCTTGCTAGAAGTATCTTTAATTTCTTTAGTCCTTCCTAATGAAGAAGTTTCACTCATATCTGATACACTGAGAGGTGACTCACAATCTTCACTTCCATGATTAAAATGGTTAACTGCTTTATTAGGAGTATTAATATCACTTTCATTGTTGGGAACCGAAGGCAATTTTTCTTCGGATACTTTATTTTGATTCACATCATTTGAAACACGATGTGTCTGACATTTTGGGAAAAGTTTTGAAATGTCTAAATTTTCATTACTGATGTCAGAAAGTAAGTGGTCAAAAACTTCAGCCATAATATTTCCTGATAACCGTCATCACAGGCTTAAATGGAAATGTTACCCATTCCTGTAAAATAAATATTCAAAATTAGTTTATCAGTCTAAATAATTTTAAATTTTAAGCAATTTAATAAAAATATTCTAAAGTAAAAAGTTATAAATAGTGGAATTATAAATAAAATAGTTAATACAATTAATACTAAATTTTTAAATTTTGTTGCAATTGTACAATATATATATATTTTTAATGTACAGGTTTCAGCATTATTGGAACATTTAGGATGCCAAATAAGTGATTTTGCCAGATTACTGATGGTTAGGTTAGAACCCATTTAAGCCAATAGCTAACCATCTCATTCTAAATTTAAAATACCCTATATTGATTGAACCAGATTACTGAGTGCCAGATTAGTTATGGTCAACCTGTACTATAATTTGGCTGTACAAAAAATTTTTTTTATTTACAATTTGTATTCACAGTTTGAATTCTTATGAAAATCAAACAATGTCATAACTAGCTTTTCAAGTGCCCTGTGCAAGATTTTATTTTTGGCTTTCCTCCCTTTTTTGGAAAAGTAATTAAAAAATAAATATGATAAAAATGATTGGTTAATTTTTAACTTTAACCAAAAACATTACAGAACTGTCCCCTTGTCAGCAAAATTTAAAATTTGAAAATGAAAATATAATACTGACAACTATTACAATATGTCATTTCAGGGCCCTTTTTTCATCCCTGTGCCTGTACATCCATTGCATCCGACTAGTTAGGGCACTGGTTATATATAAAAGTGAATTATGTTGTAAAGTCTAATTTATTTTTAACAAAAACTATTATAAAACAAAATTGTTCCTCTTAAATAATGAATATACTATTGTAACAAATAAAATAAACCACTAAAAAATTTGCAAATATCAAAGTTATATGTAGAAAAGCATTCTACATATTATCAATACTGAAAAATTTGCTTGTTATATAACACATTCACAATTTCAACATTATATTTTCAGTTTTCTAAATCCAATTTTGTTCCATTACAAAACTTTAATTTTGAAGAAACATGTAGAAAATGTAATTTTGTTAGCAATGATTTTCCAATATTTGTCACAACAGTCTGAAATGCATTTTAAATGTTATAAAAATATAATACATTACAAACATAGTTCAAAGTAAAGGGAAGAAGTGCTTGGAAATTACCTATAAGTATACAGTTTTGACTGATGATACCAGTATTAAATTTACATAAAATTCAGTTACTCTTATTTAAAATTCAAAAATCTAATACAGATTATTACAGTAAACTATAAATAAATTTTTTAAATTCTACATTAGTGGCATTAAAGTAAACACACTCAATGTATTCAATTTACAGTAAACCCTCGATTTAATGGACTAATTAGGAACGAGGAGTGTCTGCTACTGCCAATAATCCATTAAATTGAATGCGTTTTAAAAATATGTATTAATAACAAACTTAAAATGTGCAAAATATATTAAAATGCTATGATGTTTAAGTATTAATAAAATAATATTTGGTTTCTTCATATGAAACAGACTCAGATGTCCAATGCAAGTATGTGATTTATTGTACAGTATATGCAAGGATTACATAATATGCTTGACATTCAACTTACCCGTTTAGAGATAGACCCCCTCCACCTGTACAGTGATGCCCTAATCTCTCTCAATATCATCACCGTTGCCATCATAGTCGGTTTCATTTGAACGAACCATATATAATGTACTGTACATTGAGTAATTTACAGTTACTGGCTCATTGTTCCAACCTTATAGCATGCTCTATTTGCAAATAAAGGTTTTGAATTTTTCTAGGTGAGAGAGAGTTTTTCTCCATTAAATTGAGGGTTTACTGTATTATCTCCATTTAATATGTCAATGATTATAATATTAAATTTAAAAATTAAAAATAATAACTTATCTTAAATCTTTCAACATATAATAAATATTTAGTAAAGTTGTAATTTCATTTTATTTATTCAAAAAAATTTCTTCTTCATAGATTAACATTACAATACCAGCATTATTTAATGTATTCTTCAACTGTCAAAACTTAATTTTCTACTCCTAATTTCATATTAGAATTTCTCAAATTTTATAGATTTTATAAAACTTAGTTGCAGAATAATTAGCAAATATATAAATATATATCCTATTTATTTATTACTTATGAAAATTAAGATATCTTCATGAAATTTTCCCTCCTCTTTCTCAAAATTACAGATACAAAATATAAAATCATGATTATATTACAATAAAATTTTGTAGCTTTTTATTGAAGAGATTTTAAAATATTTTGAAGGACAATCAATCATTGGAAGATATTTTACTTAAAAGACACTTTACAAGGTATTGTTACTGTGTTCTTGTGACAAATGTAAGAGATTCCAAAGAATTTAAAATGTATAAACTTTTTCTAAATTTAAACGAACAATATTGAAAGATGTCAGACATTCTAATTATACACTGTAAATCACTCATATTTTGCCTAAATTGCTTCTTAGTCTTCTCTACAAACATAACTGTCAACAAAAAATCTCCCCCTTACTAAAATGCAATTTTATCAGTCATTTACTTTCTTATTCTATTAACTGGTACTTTAGAAGATATATATGTAATAAATTAACCATTTCCATCTTATCTTTCCTAAGCACCATGTTTATACTATATTCTCCTAGCCTATATTTCTTCTAAAAAATATACACTTGAGCTAGTACTAAAAGATATAATCTCAATATCTGGAAAATACTTTCCCAGATTTGCTGAAAATTTACAACCAGAGTTACTTTATTTTTTAATATCAAATTATAGAAATAATGCTGATGCAAAAAGTGATGCTATAAATTAATTTCACAAATATTTTTACTTATTTTCCGTACAAATACTTATGTTCATTGTATATAACAGAAAATCCAAAAATAATAATTTTATTTTATTTAAATACGATTAATCCAAAAATCATGAACATTTAATTATTAGTTAAAATATTTGTGTACACTAAATTCAAGTATCTTTTTATGTAAGTCAAACAATAAACAGGGTTTATTATCTGATAAATATATAAAACTGAACCATTTACTGAACTACTTATCTTTAATGAGCCAAGAATTATGTTATTATTGCATAAAATATTTACATTTAAATATAGTTACTTCATATACTTTATTTTTCATATTAAGATAAAATATGATACAGATATATTTTATCTTATTCGTTCACAAAACTGCAACCTCCAATTTCTATCTAATTTTGATGTAATAATTTTCTTTTCACCTTCATGTTATTATTTTCTTTTTTCTTCTTCTTATGGCTCAATAATGTTTCACTATCTCTTTCCATTGTCACAATTCAGTTCCAAAGATCCACGATCCACGAAACAGTTCCAAGATATGTAAACTCTGCCAAAAAATTAACACTTTATATGCTTTTAGATAGAGTGAAGTAAATACTGAACATATATATTTTCAAAGTTTTAAATCCAAGTTCTAAAGTCTATCTATCAATAAATAAATACAAACAAAACTGAAATTACTATAGATGGAGTTTATAAAATTATATAATGCATATATTACAATACTAACAACAGCTGTAAAGAATAAAAACAGCAGCACATAAAATAAACAGATTATGATTTAATATATGTTAAAAAGTTATAAAAACCATTTTGAAATTACACGTCTTTCTACATAACAAAAAGAAGGTCAAGTAAAATAGCAAGTGATGTACAAGATATAACATTCAAGAAATATATTGTTCTGAAATTCCAGATGAATGTTAAATGCAATCTATGATATTAATATTTAAATTTAAAATATTCAATCCATAAAAATAAGTATACTTTAAAAAAGTGTAACTTAAATATCACAAAATTATTATTGAATATAATTAAGCATATATTGGAATATAATATTAATAATTTGCATTTTCTCTTTTTATAAAGCTGCCCCTTGTTTCTAAGAGTTTCGAAGATGGACCTCAAGACACCAGAAGGAAATCAATATCTTTATAATTAATGCATTCATTTTTTTAATGTTACTTTGTAGACCTCCAGTGTTTTGAGAATTCTTAAATGCTGCTCATCCAAGATTGATTTTATAGGTTTTTTTTTTCTTTTACTTTCTCTGATGTTAGTTGTTCCAGCATTAGTACTTAAAAAATAGATTTTTGCTTTTTATTTCAGACCTCGGGTTGGAGTATTATCAATTTCTTAAAAACTATTTTATTACTACAGTATATACATATTGAAAAAAGTTAGAACTCAATTGGTTAATTCTATCAAAAGTCATTAAAAAAAAAACATCAGAAAATGTTAATATTGGAAGGGGAGTAATTCTTGAAAAACATTTGAAACATACATTTATCTTTTCATAAACTAAAAACTTGTATAATAAAAACAAATTGCATAACTTTTTGAAATATGGCCCCACCCCATTAATATTGCCTGAACCAAAGGTCTGATTTTTTCGAAATTTCTAGAAACATTTCTCCCTAATACACAAACCTCCCTGCAAAGTTTCAGAAATTTTCAACAAAAAGGCACAAGAGTTAAGCTTCAAACTGAATGGGAAAAAAAATCACGACCCCCATATTAACACCATGCACACAGAAAACCCCAAACTTTTTTTGCATTTCTCAATGTTTCAAGGTCAGAGTCCAAAAATGTAAAAATTTTAAGGGTCATATTTTATGACCAATTGCCATACTTTACTTTTCCTCTGTTTTATAATCAAGGATGGGAAATCGGCAGAAAAATACGTGACTCCCAAGTAAGTATTTTTTAAAATTAACTCAAAAAGATTTCACTCCCAACTTTCCATCCCTGTTTATAACAGCTGGGAAAGTAACTGTGATGACAACACTTAACAATTGCTTCTTCAAAACAATATCAATCCATAATTGCATAATGTTATCAATCTAATTATCAAAACTCTTCCAACAGGTCCTACATAATAGAAAATTTAGCTTAAATGATTCTCTGTCTTCAACAGACTGAAATCTATTTTCAATACCATCTTCAATTTCAGATAAAAGAAAAATTCTTCTGACAAGACCTATCAAGTATTGGAATTGTGGAACTAGTTTTAGCCAGCAAATGCTGAATTATTATAACTCAAACATATCCAATGAGGGTGCTTGGGTGCTGATGACAAAGCAATCAATTTTGTTACTTCAAAATAAAACTAAACATAATTTTCTGCCATTGAAATCATGCATCGTCATCTTTATACAAACAGGGGAAAAAACAAAAAAATTTAAACTGATCCTTCTTAGAAAAAAACAGAAAAGTGTGAGGAATGAAGATAATTACGTATAAATAAATAAATGAATTAAAAATAAATTTATTTATTTTTTAAATATACAAGCAATACCATAAGGCAAATGGAACCATCCCCTATTAACAATCCCTATAAATCATAAACATTTTAAAAACAAGAGACAAATAAAACTAAACAACAGTTCTTACAAAACAATTTATATTTTTAGTACTTAAGATAATTGAAATTGAAATTTGCTTTATGATGTTTGATGTCTACAAAAACAAAAATTTATATGTGGAAAGTCTGAAAAAGGAAGTATAAACACAAATTTCAATCATTTCTAGTGAAAATAAGAAATAGAGGATTTAATCTTCTTTGATTGTTTGAGAAATTTTGTATTTTATTGAATAGAGGTTGTTTATAAGGATTTACAAATATTTTGCATACAAATAGATTTGATACCCATAGGTTTCACACAGTTTCAGAAAGCAAAGAATGACAAGTGAACCATGTTGAGTAGGGTCATTAAATTGAACTAGAAACCTATGTAAGTCATATAAAAGAGATTAAGCTGAATTTGAATGAATCCATCACATTTTCCATTAAGAAAAGTCTGCAAACTTTTCAAACTTTCATTAGCATATTCCAACAAAGATATCCACACGATGAATCTTGTCGGATAACAGTATGATAAAACCAAACAATTGCCAGATTACATCAAGTTATATTAATGCTAGTATTAATAATTAAATACTGAGTAATTTGTAATTTGGCACTAGAGGTAGGCGTTAGGACCAAGTTAAGTATAAAACATTTTTGTAAATCATGAATCTCATTTCATCATCAAATTGATTAAAAATAAATAAGCAAGAACACTNAATTTTGCAGAAGGCTAAAGAAATAAAATTTGTATTCAGTTATGAGAAAGTTCACAAATCAAAGGGTGGAGTGAACTAAAAGGCCCACAAGGCATCCATCAGACAATTAAAACCCTCTCTTATCGTCTCAATCCCCAAAAATTTAACACCGACATTCCTATTGCTGACATTCAAATTAATGCAAACATTTTTGAAATCAATATAACAGGTGTTTACAATGCTTCATCTTAATAAAATTATTAAAAACACTAGATTTAACTTGGTTCAGAGATAATTAGACATTTTGATGCTTTGGTTAGTAATGTTTGTACTTTGTTGTTTATAAACATTTCACCTTAAACTTATTCCAATAAGGGAATGGAGGAATCAGCCTACCACTATGGGGATCCAGAGTCAAATTCAGATGATCAAAACACCTCAAAAGTTTAACACACAATAAAAACTTTATTATTTTTTAATCTGCATAACTGAAATAATGTGAATATGGATAAATCAAAGAAAATTCATAAAAACTAAGATAGATTTTTGAAAGACTTTTGTAAAATACTGTATATAAACATAAAATATTAACATAACATGATAAATTTATTTGAGCATTCATTTAAAATTTGTACAACAAACATTCTATTCTACAATTAAAAATTATTTAACAACTCTTCTTAACAGGTTTTTGTTTAAATTATTCTAATTTTTTTATTGAATACATTATATAAAAATCTATCAGCAATATTTTTGCTGTTGATAGCAGTTTTTGAATCAAATAATGTAAATTTTATTGTAATACTTATATGTTACTTTTACAAATATCAATTGATAAATGCTTTTATCTTTAATTTACCTAACACAACCTGCAATCTTGCTATAGATTACAATAGTTTAATCTAAAATTCCAATTAATGTCTTTAAGATTACTTGAGTTCAAGTTTGTCAATATTATAATTAACTTTTCAAAATTATAGTAATAAATATATCTAAACCAGATGACCCCAAACTTTTTAACTGTTGACACCAAAGATCTTTCTACCTTTTATTGATCCCCTTTTGTTTTTTTTTTTTGCTAATACAGTTAATAACAAACAAATCTGGTAAACCAGTTTTAATCCATACCATACACCATTTTCATAAAAATGATCTACTGTACTTACAGTGACTACTAATTTGAAGTGGCGAGCATATATTTTAAATTAAATAGATTTTAAAAATATGATTAAAAATTACAGACTGGTATTGTGACAATTTCACAATAAATAAATAATTGCTTGTTTATTTTAAAATGTTGTGAACAATTAAACTATTTTTGTAATAGTTTGTTAATAAGATGCAATATTTAAAGCTGCCTTATTAAAAATTAACTGTTGATTGTAAACTCAACTCAATATCTATTGTTAACATTAAAATATCAGTAATAATTTTTTTTAAATCCTCAGTTGTTTCATAATTGAATTTTGTTTGGTGCTCATTATTCTGTATTGCTGCATACTCTCTTCTGTTTAAATGTCCAAAAGTATTTGAAAATATATGTTAAATGCATTAATAAATCTCTTCACTCTTTCTTAACAGCATATAGAAAAATTAAATAATCAAAAAAATTCAATTTTATTTAGAATATATTTAAATAACCACTTAATCTCATCAAGGCTTTTATTACTAATGTAAAATTATTTTCCTTTTGAAACATGTTTTTAATTTTGCAAAAGGCTAAAGAAATAAAATTTGTATTCAGTTATGAGAAAGTTCACAAATCAAAGGGTGGAGTGAACTAAAAGGCCCACAAGGCATCCATCAGACAATTAAAACCCTCTCTTATCGTCTCAATCCCCAAAAATTTAACACCGACATTCCTATTGCTGACATTCAAATTAATGCAAACATTTTTGAAATCAATATAACAGGTGTTTACAATGCTTCATCTTAATAAAATTATTAAAAACACTAGATTTAACTTGGTTCAGAGATAATTAGACATTTTGATGCTTTGGTTAGTAATGTTTGTACTTTGTTGTTTATAAACATTTCACCTTAAACTTATTCCAATAAGGGAATGGAGGAATCAGCCTACCACTATGGGGATCCAGAGTCAAATTCAGATGATCAAAACACCTCAAAAGTTTAACACACAATAAAAACTTTATTATTTTTTAATCTGCATAACTGAAATAATGTGAATATGGATAAATCAAAGAAAATTCATAAAAACTAAGATAGATTTTTGAAAGACTTTTGTAAAATACTGTATATAAACATAAAATATTAACATAACAT